CTCTGCAGATACTTGCTATGCTTACACTGCACAGATGTTTGAACTGCTTGCTTACCAGCCACTTTCCAGCTCAAAATTTGTATCTGATTTTAGTTTTCCTTAAAATATCAGCCTGTAAAATATAGGAGCTGTGGAAGTGATTTAAGAGCAGGGTGGAGTTAGGAAGCCTGAGGTAGTAAACTCAAAAGCTACTTTAAATGAAGCCATCTCAGCTTGTCAGTCACAACCCTCTCTGCTCCCTGGAGATGATTTCAGCTCTTCTTTTACTTCAAATTCAGAAGGCCTATTGCATAGTGGCTGCTCAGGATCAGGGACAAAGATCTAGTTCTTTTCAAAAAGACCCTTTCATGCAAAAACTCGCTGATGGTAAGAGTTCATAATACAAGGCAGATTTGAATGATGTCCTTGGTCTCATGACAGAGACACACATTTATTTAAAACAACTGAAAAGTCTTAATTCTTGGTAATTAAAATAAAATGAACCTGGTTTTGGCACAGCATCAAACCTGTAAGGTGTTCGGTATGGTCATAATTTAGAATTAGCCTCCATTTGGGTAACGGTAAATAGGACTGTTGATACTTGGTGTCCCATTTGAAGTTCAGTCCTATATTGTATTAGAGAGGGATAATCATGATGGATTATTACACAGATGTACCAAACAGAAAGCATTTAGAGCTAAACACAACGTCTGCCTTCATACACAGAGATATGGACCCTTAGGATAAGTAAGTTAATGGTAAACATAAACAGGAGAGTTAATATTTGTTCTACTTGATGTTGTTGATTGGTTTAACAAATCCTTTGTGGCCCATCTACGTTGAGCAGTTCTGCGCAATGCACTTGAGCTAAATTACATAACAGCTTATACAATCACAATTGGTAAATTGTGGCTCAGGCTGTAAAGTCCTATCCAGTAATCCTGCCATATTTCTAAAGCAAATTGCCCCTTAATTGAAACCTGCTTCAATATAAAAATACAGCCTTTTCAATGAGTCATCCTTTTTTTTTTTTTTTTTTTTTTTTTTTTTTTTCTTTTTTTTTTTCCTCCGTACACTTTGTAAAGGCTTCCAGCAGTTTAAAGTGAGGGTTAATTTTGCATTAAGACCATTGCCTCCTAGTTTCTTTCAAATAAAGCCAGGGGAAGTTCAGGGGAAGGCTCTTTCCTCTGATAATGAAGCTCTCCATGTTAATGATGCGTGCAGGCTCCCTCGGATCCTTTGAATTAGAAATACTTGTGTGCGTGCGTGCTACTCTGCTTCATTAACATTAAGGAGAGGTAGATTGGTGGCTATTTAGGGCACAGTGAAATCGCTGGCTATTTAGGGCAAATGGAAATGGTGCTAATTGTGGCTGGTAATTCCATTAGTAGGGTACTTCCATTTTGGTGTCTGTTTGGCGTATAGGTATAAAAAACAAGCACGCTGACATTCTTTCAAGGGGAACGTAGACACTCAGGCTCGTTGTTGTCTTGTGCCAGTTAACTTCCATGTAGAGATGCAGTTTCTCATGCTCCCCAAATTTTTGGTTTGGTGTGCTGGCACTCAGGAGTAAGATTTGTTTGTGGGTGGCAACATCTTGAGCAAAGTATGGAGGCAAGGTCACGGCGTTCCAGGTGCAGGAAAACCCAGAGATTTCAGGCTATAAGAAATCTGTCCCCTTTCCTTCCTGGATCATGAATAAACTTACAGGTGAAGGTCAGGGAATCCAGACCATCATGGTATAAAACCACGCAAAGCCTTCTTTCTCAGAAAGGCTCTCTGACATTAAAAAAAATGGCATTTTCAAACAAAAGATTCTCCAATGAAGGCTCCCTGTCTCTCAATCACGAAGTCTGAGAACAATTAACTGAAAAAGAAAGTGTCTGAAGCAGCGAAAAGTCTATCCTAGCTTTGAAGTCTAGGACTTGTCTGTTATAAGGAGGTATAACTGGGAAAGATGTATTTCATTTAACTGTAGCCATCTGGAAGTTAGCTGTCGAGTTTAAGCTATTTATTTGGGGTGCTATTTATAACCTTTTGTCAAGATTGGTGCCCAACAGAGTTGGATTCACACAGTTCACATTCACTAGCTAGTGAATCTACAAGGTTAATGTGGAGTTGCCACCTAACTCTCCGACAGATCAGTCTGGTGACATGTATCCCTCCCTGTATCCCAGCAGAATTCCCCCTTCCAGCTTCTCTTCTCTGTTTTTAAAGCTTCTTGGAAGTACTGGGGAGAAATCTCTGAGAAAAGTGATTCAAACTGTCTCATCAGACTTCTGCAGTGATGAAGAGTAAAATGAGTAAAGAACAAAACCACGTGGATTTGTCTTGCACAGAGGATGGGTCTGAGTCTCCGTCACTTGCTGTAACTCAATAAAGCAATTTCTGATGTGCAGGAGAGTTTAATGTTGCACCACATTACGTGTGGTGTGCTTCTGCTGCTAGAAATGGTTTCCTGAATACCTGTGCAGGTCCCGATAACTGTGGTGATAATGTGCTTGTTGTCATTTACTTGCTTAATTAGCAGCCTAATATCCTGGTCCAGTTAATGCCTTATAAGAGGAGGTTTATTAGTAGTACGAAAGCTGTTTAAGCCTTATAAACTCCTTCCAGTCGGTTTCATTGGTCTGCCAATATCTTCCGGTTGAGTGATTCTCTGCTGATTCACACTTCTGTTTCTCACTGTTGTTTCTCAGCTGTGTGTTTCTGGGTATGCAGAAAGTCCTTTGCCAAAGTGACAGCCACCAGAATAACAGAAAAAAAAAATAAATAAAATCCAAAACCAGAACAGATTTTAAAAGAGGAAAAAATAATCTGCAGGCAATCCTCCTCCAAGATGACTGCTATTGTAATTGTGTATTGTCTCCAAAGCAGCAAAGGGAAAAAACAACCAAAAATTATAAATACAAATGGAAAAATTGCTGGATGACATGAGTTTTAGCACTGTCTGTCTTGGGTAAGTAAGCCATATCCAATCTGGAGGAGTGGGTAACATGCTGAGATGTCTAATTATAGAGTAATACTCCAATATTTAGAAATACAATCTTAGATATGCTCAAAAGGTTTGTGTGTTTGTTTTTTTTTTTTTTAAGATTAGTGTCAGTTCAAATGCCAAAACTGACTAAGTGGACTAAAGGTGAAACTGCCAACTTGCCTAGATCTTGCAGAAACATTTGATTCATGTGTAAATCTGCTGCATCCATCTTTATGGCAGAATCATGGCCCCAGGGTACCTTGGCAAGACAAAAAGGCTTCTCCACAGCTGAGAATTAGATTTGCAGTCCTGGGATGTGGATCCTGAGCAATTCCCCATCTCTAAGGTGAAGAATGAAAGAATCAGGAAAAGACTTGTGGGTTGCAGTTGTGCAGCTGAAACCCCAATATTCTTCCAAGCATATCTAGTGTTGGCAGGCCCAGGGATGGGAGGTGTTGGCGATGATGGGTAAGACCCTTGCTAGAATTTTGGGTTTTTCCATCAGAACTCCTCCTGTACCTTTAGTGGCATAAACAACCCTGCACCAATCCTTTTGCAAGCCAACTGGGATCACCCTCAGGGTGAGGTATAATCTCTGCCAGTTGCTACTGAGAAGAATGCCACAATGAGATGGATTAAATTCTCGGACAAATTTAAGCAGTCTGTGCATGTGTGTGCGGTAAGGGGACAGGGAGAAGGTGCTTAGGCTAGGATTTATTCTTCTTGGGCTTTGATATCAAAATGCAATTTCTAATGTGCAAGTCTTGTCACCCAAATTCATTCAGGCCACGGAGAAACACCAGCTCCAGAGGACATTTTAGCCTGCCTCACATCTGACATTCTCTGGAGGAGCATGATGCTTCTTGTTGCCTCTAGAAAGAGAAGAGACCTTCCCAGTCTCATTCCAGATGTGAAGTGGTAACACAGTGTAGCTAAAGAGAACATAGTTTCAACCATGGTTTCCATCAGTTTCAAGAGGTGTTGCAGGAATGGAAGATGCTGAGGACCAGAGGTAACATCTTTGTTTTGAAGAAGCAGCTTATGATCAGGTGTCCCTGATCAATCAAACATGAAGAGACAGTGGATGTTCAGTGTTTGAACATCGGAAGGATTAGCTGCAGTTCAGCTTTATCTTTTCCTTCGTGTAGTTTGTTGCCTTCACCAAAGCAGTTCCTGAAGTATTCTGTATCTCCAGACCCAAATAATCAAGCTCAGTTTAGCATAATTTGAAAAAAAAAAAAATATGTGCAGGAAAAAGACAGACCCTGCCTCTGGAAAGGAAGTCAAGGTGGTTTGTTATACCCATCCCAGCTACACCGTGTTATTTCCTACTTTTAGTAGAGAAAGGACTCCAGAGGCCTCAAATCTAAAAGGCTTATGCCCACTCATGATACCATTATTACTGTTGAACTGTTCAGTGAGTTTTCTCTAAGTTGGACAGAAATTAGGAGTGCAAAGTTCTAGTGAAAAAGGGGTCTGAGTTCTCATTTGGATGCTCAGAAGAACTGCTGTACTAAATGTTCACCCATTTTGTGACGGAATTCATCAGTTTGCAGCAGCCCCAGCTTCGTATCCTGGGTGCAGAGCAACTTTTAAAATTACACAGGATTTTTACACTTTCAGCCTTGATGAAACTTTTGACCACTCAAATGTGAGAGAATAATCAGAAAACTATCACGTTTCACCAAGATGAAGATCCTAAAAGTTGAACGTGAAGGTCATGAGTCTGGTGGATGGAGAGATACTCTGACAGTGAAGGAGTTGGTACCCTGGCTCTGGCCATTGCTCTGCTTTGGCACAAGCTTTGCTCCTCTGTGCCTTTATTCCTCCACCCTTTGTCTCTCTTTCCCTCTTTCTCTTTTTATGGCACTTCAGGCAGAGATCGTTTCTTACTGTAATTGTAAAGATCTACACAAATGAAGTCACATTCTGAGAGAGAGACAGCTTGTACTACTGTAATTCAAATAAAACCAGAACTGTAAATGTTGAAAAATTACAGAGTTCAGTGAAAAAAATGTGATTTTTTTTTTTTTTTTTCCTCCAGAAAAGACGCTCCAGACATTCCCTATAATTTAACTGTGACCGACAGTAGGAATAAGACAACCACAGTCAATTACGTCCCTGATACTTTATCAAACCTGTATGGCTGGATGGTTCTCCTTTTGGATAAAGAGACTTATGCATTGACATTTGACAACCCTTCGGTCAGCAAACAGCTCCAGGTAATATGGGAATTTTTTATAATTTCAAAATTATATTTGGAAGAGATAATTATACTCTCATCTTTCTGGGCGAACAGAGAGAGAGGAAAATAAGTGTTAAGTGCACTGAGGAAATGTCTGTATATTTATATGTAGGGCTTAGATACGATGACCTGGTCCCTGAAGCTCTCAACAGTAACTTGGAGCAGGAAGATGATTTTGGATGTCTTAGATGAAAGTTCAGTGTGGTGCTTAGGAATCAACAAAATTATTACTACCTTAAGACGTACTGAAACATGGTTTTCAGAAGACACTGTTCCTCTGCACCTTCTCCAAGGTGATGAGGGGAGCTGATTTTGTCTGCATACACTGTCACCTTCTGCTGAATTTTACGTCTCTCTTCCATGTTTCCAATGCACATTTTGCAAAAGAATATGCTGCCCGTGAGGAGCACCATCCTCTTTACCCCTTTATACCACACTCCGTGGAGCTCTAATCACAGACAGAGGCATGTTTATTTTGGTTCCCTCTTCTCTAGTATTCAGTGACATTTAGCAACTTCACAACTGGGAATTACTTGCTGGTGGAACACAAGGATCTTCCTGCCCATCCTGAGGTTGTGGTGTCCTGTGGGACACGGACTGGACAGCCACTCCAATCGCTGCCTTCGTACGAACATCATAGGAGCTGTGACTGGTACCTTGACAGCAGACTGAGGAAGATAACCTATTTGGGTAAGCACAATACGAGGGATGCAATATGCCTTTTTGTTCAAGAACAGTGACAGAGCTGATGTCTTTTTAATTTAAACCTCCAAACTACATAAGATCTCAGGCACAAAGCCATCGTTCAGTGGTTTTTCAATAAGTAAGAGGTCCTTCAAAAAAGATGAATCAAATAGGTAAATGCATGCACATCGGGTCCATCTCTATCTGATCTATCTGATGCCTGATCTATCAACAAAAGGAATGGATCATAAATAGTGGGTGATGTGACATCAGTTGAATTTGAACTGGTGTTTTGGAGAGGAAAAAGCATTAAATTCCACTAATGATCTCTGTTGTCAGCTGGTCCCACATCACATGTATCATTAATAAATCATGTGCAATCTCTCTAGGCTGAGCCCACTGAAGGCAATAGGATTACTGTGTGAGAATTTTTCCTGTGACTCTAAACTTTGAAAGACACCTTTACATCTGAGTTTGTTGTCTTTTTTTTTTTTTTCTTTTTTTTTTTTTTTTTTTTTTTAGCAATTCAGATATTTACGATATTCAAATGTCATTTATTCTTTTAAATTTTGGACATTTTCTGCAATTCCCGTTCTCATGCAAACGATTTTATAAGGGTCTAAGTTCTATATGTAATAGGCAAGGTAAAGGTTGTTGCCATTATTAATAACAGTAGAATCAAGAATCACAAAAACATTTCAGTGCCCTTGAGAAGTACAGTTTCTCTTTCATGACTTTTACAGGGAAGCTAAACTATAAAGATACTGACTTTCATAGTAACAGAAAATTTTGTCACTGATCTAATCCATTAGTTTTAATGAATTTCTCTTGATTAACACTGATGAGATGACATTCAAATGGCTTTCTCATGTAGGATCTGTTTAGGAATGAGCAACCAGAACAGTCGGTGGGACAGTGGAGTGGAAAACACATCTGGAATGAGGGTAGGCAATCCACTGAGCTTAGTCTGACAGCAATGAAAATCATCCAGTGCACCTTTGAGGAGAAATGGTGACGCCCATACCTTAACCTCAGTCTGAGGGTGACACTTGCTACATCCATCTCTGGTCCTGTGGCTAACTGGTGTTGCACAGCTTGTGTCCATACAGCTTAACATTTTATCTCTCAAAACAGGCTGGATGCACCTAGGCTTCAAATTAGGAAAGGTCCCCGTCCTGTTCTAACTCCCAAACTGTAATGATCACCATCTAGGAGAGTGCATTGGTCTGGGCCAAAGCTGCGCCAGCAACTTGGCCAGCAATATAGTCATGTAGATTATTGGCGTCCAGCTCTTAGTTCCATTTCCTGGCCCTATTTAGATATAGCATGGAGGTTGGCTAGTGTAAGTGTAGCCTTGCCCAAGGTCACGCCAGGTATCTACAGAAAGAAGAAATGTGTTTTTATTATTTGTTTACCAAACAGTGTAAATTTGCTCTTTCATATACAAATGTCAACTGTTTTACAGTTTCTATATCCTGAATGACACTTTCATAAACAGGGCAGCATAGGAAAGCTCAGAAGATGACACCTATATCTTGGCCTCTTACTACTGTTGAAAATAAAGGAGATGACAGTCTTGGGAAGACTGGGACAAAGTGGTCTGGCGGGCATATGTCACTCTTGTATCATAGATATTTTCATGTCCCTCTTTTGCCTTCCTTTCATCTTGATTTTTACTGTATGATGAGCTCGTTGTTTCTCGTTTTAATACAGAGAGGAACAATCATCCAAAGTACACCAGGGGAAATTTATGAAAACACCTAACATGTATAATTCATGCTGTGAACATTTTCAGCAAGGACATTTATATCAATGAGATCAATAATTCAGCGTCAGGTACCTAATGTCTAATGCGGTTGGTAAGGTAAAAGTCTGAAACAAAGCAAGCAGATTTCCTAGCCCTGGTGTGCCGTTTAATTTCTCTCTTAATCTCCGCTGTGCAGTCTGAGAGGGTGAGGATAATTAGCCATCAGAGCAGACTCATGGCATGTGGTGGACTTTCCATCATTCAGGGTCCTTAGATGATGCTTGGCTGTCTTTTCAGAGAAATATGCTCCAGCTCTACGAGAAGCTCTTAGAAACCTCATGAGGCGAGGTTCATGCTCTGTAGGAGGTCAGAGAAGGCTGCCACAATAGTCCCTTCTGGCCCTGAAAACCCACCAGTCCATCCACTGACCCGGAGAGGACAATGTTTAAAGGTCTGGCCTTCAGAACATGTTCCCGCCTAAGTCTGCAAGCTGTTTTTTGTGGTTTTTTTTAATTTAATTTTATTTTTTATTTACATTTAACTATATGAAATAATTAGCCAACTAATTAATCCCGTTTACAAGCTTTGTCGGATTCTTCAGCTGTCAGTCATGCCTGAGCCCGGGGCCGGCGTTGAGTCTCAGCTCCCTCCTTCATCTGACTTGGTCTCCATGGCTACAGGCTGCATCTGCTGACACCCCACTCTCTATTTACTGCTTAATTAAGAATTTCACGCTCAGCCCTTATCTGCTGCTAAGAACAAGAACACACTGTTAAGAAACTCCAAATTTAGGCTGCTGCACAAGGAAAGCCTTTCTTGTTGTCCTGACTGCGTGGAGCCTCTTTAACTACCCTCTTGGCAACTGCGCTGCCATCCTTCAATCAAAAATCATTAAATGGGGCAGAGATAATGAGCATGTAGCATATCAAAAGGAGGATGTTTGCTCGGGCTAAGGAGGAAAAGCTGTAAGGGCCTATAAGCAGCCGCCACTTCAAAGGGAGAAGGGGCTGATAAAGAGTCATTTGTTCCTGTTTGACTTATGTAAAAGGTCTGGTATGTCGGAGTCCCGTCTCGCAGACGCGGGTCCCCCCTCTCCACGCTCGTGTGTCAGCAGTCAGGCAGCTGGGCGCAAACAGCATCAGCCCAAGCATATAATCACTTGACTCCGCGCCGACAATGGGCACTTGTAGGGGGTGGCGGAGGGAGGGCTGGGGGACAATGGGAAGACAATTATTGCAGCTGCTCGGGAGGGCCATAATTCTTCCTGCAGAAAGTAGCCGGCTCTCGCAGGGCGGAGGGGAGAGCTCGAGCGTATTAGTCATCCTCTGACTTTTGGAAGCACTTCGCCGCACCGGTGGGGTTTCGACAGCTGCTGGTGTACCGCCTCTTTCCAATAATTGTACATTCTGGCAGGGGTCAACTTACTTTTGACCCTCTGCTTTTGTGCCCATCAGAAAGCCTTTTAGGGCTAACTGTGGGGAAGTGGCAGGGGGGCATTACATCCAAAATTAACGTCAGTAAATACATATCAGATGCCAGCTCATTCACGAGCAGGCTCTTGAATTCACACAGCCTTTTGCTCAGGCCTGCATGGGGGAGAAAATGGGGGGGAGAAGGGGAGGGAAAACCCCATGACTGAGAAGATATTGTTATTCAAACGAAGCGGGCAGCTGAATGAAGCCACCTTTGCCAGCACTTTGCATTGGGCTCAGGCTTTCTCCATGCCCCCTTCCATCCAAAATTGCCTGGCGTCATGCAAGTGTTTGTTTATCTTTGGGGGAGAAAAAAAGGTCTGTCTAACACAAAAGGCAATAAAATATACCGTATGGAGGGGATTAAAGGAGTTAACTTCCCCTGATGCTTTGCATGCTTGCAGTTTTGTCAATTAGGCTTGGGCATGGGACAATGCAGGGGATGCTGAATGGAGAGAAATAATTGTAATGGAGAATGTTTCTGCTGTGTGGGCTACCTATTCAATGATCCTCTTAAAGGTATTCACTGCTACCTACGTACATGAAACCCTGTTAATCAACTCACGAGTACCTTTGAAAAGAATCTTTTCAGTCAGTTTTCAGGGAATTGGACAGATAACCCTACATCCCTGCTGAATGCTGGGTGAAGAGGAGATGAGGAAGCTTGAGGCGTCCCGTACCAGTCATTTCTAGATCATCAACTTTGCTTTGACATTATTCAGTCTTTGTAGCATCATCTTGATTTTCTCTGGGGCACCCTGTGTCTTGAGAGAAGCGTTCATCAAAGGTCACTGATGGGCACTGAAATTGCTGTGCGGCTCTCTGAAACACTAATGGGTTGTGGCTCAACCATGTTTCAGGAGGTTGGTCCTAACATGACATGACCATGCTGGATTAAAAAAAAAAAAGCAACCCTTCCTGTAACGAGGGAGGTGGAGAGAAACATCACATGGGACATTTGGGATATTTTTAGGAGAAATATCCTGAGTAAATTATGATAATAACTTTATGAGCCTTTTAAGTCTGTTACAAATACGAGCATATGGTGCCACAGCGTGGTACTGCTCCTTGGTTAAGGTCTCTGGGCTATACTGGAGTTGGCTAAAAACCAGAGAGATGTTGCTTCATTTTTGTTCACTTTTGAAACATTTAAACCATTTTCTTTTGGAATGAAAGAAAGTGCTGGCTTGCTTCACCTCCAGATTTCTCTTGGCTTTTTTTTTTTTTTTTTCCTAAAATTGAAGTGCTGGACACAGAGTTTATTGAAAACATCACTGAAAGGATTATCAAACTTTTTATTTACCACCAAATACATTTTTCAGTAGACACAACTTTTATGGAGATGGGTCATCCTGCTGACTTTGCTCAAGCTACTCATGTGTGAGTTGTTAAGAGGGCCTGAGGCTCAACCTCATATTACTGCTGTGTCAGAAGCAGATTTGCAGTTTCCATAGTTCTTAAAAAAAAAAAAAATTTGATTACACTTACTGTCTTTTCTAAATTCCTATAGAATGATCTCACTTCCATTACATTCTGTGGGTTTCTGTAATTGCTTTGTACAGAACAAAAACCAGGCCCTTAATAATGTTTGTTTCTAATATTGAAATACAGAAAATAAATAAGCAAAGATATTTTCTACAGCCTTATTGCTGAGGGGTAAAGGAGAATCCTAGGTGAAAGACCTAAAGAATGGAGTTAATTTGTTACAGAGCACTGGTTGTACAGGCATGTGTCTTCCAGCTAGATAAGACTCATCCTATATCAGTGGTTTCAGAAGGTCAGTTGACCAGATGTGGGCTGCTCAGGGGCCCTCATGAAATGAAATGTCAGTTCTTAGCAAAGAGGTGCCCTGTGTAACAGACCCAAAGAGAAAAATCAACCTTCTCCTGGCAGTTGAGCTCCTGTCCTTCTGGTGTGGCAGCAGAGAGACCAGAGAATGGAGCAGTTACAGAAATAAGATGATGAAACGCCCTTTTTATAATCCTGTCTGGGCTGGTTTTTGACTATGTGATCTCTGCGGGAGGAATTTCATAACTTCGCCTCTGAAAATATTAATCTGCTGCAAGCAACAATCTGTGTCCTCACTGTAGTGTCCCCGCGATACCATATATCTGGGTACCTCTTGTCACAGATCCTTGTAGAGGATGACAAAATATCCTATCCTAGGTTCTCCAGTTTCTAGAGGTGTGTCTCACTGTAGTGTTGATTGTGCTGTCTGAAAGTTTTGATTTCCCTGTGATGTATGTTAGCCCAATTGATGTTAAATAGCATGGAGTTGCTTGTTATTTGTAAGTCAGGCTATTGGAGCCATTTATCCTAGTTTCAGCCCTTCCTAATATCCGCAGGCAAAATTCCCCGTCACTGCAAAGCTGATAAAAGACTGAGTTGCTCCTCCTTCACATTCACTCAAGGAGCCTTGAACCAGAAGAAAGTTACCAGGAGTATCGTCAAGAAGGCCTGTATTTATGATTCACAGCCCAAACATCCAGGAAGAACTGCAATAAGACAGAAAATTGATGAGCCTTATAAAGGTTTTATACAACTAAACCCTGGAGCCTTATAACTGCATTTTGCGAAGAGTCACCTTAATTCAATGTTTACTAATGACGTCCTTTGTCTGTATTGCCTGTATCTCTTCCTGTCCTGTCCAGAAACAATGATAACGTACTCAGCAGCAAAACAAAACAACCAGAAAGACTATGTTACTGCAGTCTTGATTATTCCCAAAGCCTGTACTTCGACCTGTTTTGATAATTTTTTTTTTTTTTTTTAGAATATTTGTGGAAATGGCAACATTACTGATGCACAACTGGTGCCCCCCCTGTTGACGTAAATAGTTGTGCACGTTGCAGGGCTGTGGAGAATTGAGCCCCCGATTTCCTGCACTAACATGGAGGGTATAAATGACTTCTAGCGGTTTGAACTGTCATTCTCTGTGGTTGGATGACACTTTGAACATGATAAACCTTTATCCTTGCCCTGACTCTGGACATGACTGTACTGAGTTAATTCTTAACGGTTTCTTTCTTCACTGTGTAAGGGGACTGAACCCCTTTATGAGATCTATATAACATATTGATCAAGTTTTATGTGCCCTCAGGATTTAATTAGAACATCTTTTCTCTGAACAATACAAACATCCTTAATTAGATGCTTGCATTGTAATGCCTGCAAAACTAAGCAAAAAACCACAAAAACCCAACAAATCTGAAAAAGCCCCCACATATTTATCCAAAAAAAGGATAGTGCCAGGGCGTGGTTTTCTCACTTTTCCTAAAACTCATGTAGCACCTTTGACTCCTGATTTGTCCCTCTATAAGTGATAAGAGAAGGAAGACCACCAGAGCTCTAAAAGTACCCACAGAAGAGTATTGTCTAAAAGCCACAGGAACTCTGTGTGGAAGACTTTAAATTAGCATCTTCATGTCATTCTTTCTCCTCAAAGCTTCACCTTGTGACCACCCAAAGACATGATGCTGTTTAGTTTGAGCTCTGTGTGATGATTTGGGGCAGATTGACTTGACTGATGTATGGATGAGATCACAGCTACCATTGGGAGAGACGGTGTCACTGAAGAACAGGGCTGAGGCACCTGATTACTAATTAATCAGACATAAGAAAAACCTCATGGAATCAGTTTCTATTTAATTATGGAAGCCTCATTTGGCATAGGAGCATATGCTGCCAACTCAATCGAGTGCTTTCAACTGACATCAAATAGTAATTATCAGAAAGAATCAAGTTTTTTGATTATTCATACTAATTTATTGAACACTTAAAATTAATGAACCTCAGTTATTTTAAATTTGCTCAGTTGCACTGGGAGAAAAGGAGGGAGGTAGGGAAGGATGGTTCTCACAATTTAAGAGTACAGAGACTTGTTTAAAGATAAAATAAGTAAATTACAATATGGCATGAAATCCCATCGGTGGATTGATACGCGTGTAGGGAAGTTCCTGGCATGTTCTGGAATTGAGGAAAGTTCTGACAATGGCTTAATTTATACAATTCTTCTACCCCCCCCCCCAAAAAAAAAAATAAATCTTCTGATGACATTTTAGGGGCACTGTAAGGGGTTGGACAGTGGACAGGAGATTGATGTTGGTCAGAGTGTTTCTATTTTAACCTACAGTTGTTCCAGTCTGGTGACTGAAAGGAAGTGCCTTTACATCCCACTGGAGATGAAGAGGAGGGAACCTTTTAGCTGGGTCTGAAGCAGTTTTCTCCTGCTCCTCTTAGTTTGATTTGCATTATCCTGGCCCTTCTCCTGCTGACAATATACTGGCACAAAGGTTACAACTGTGATAATTGCTTCTGACCTCTTTTCACAGTAGAGAACACAGGGTCCCTGTCTTCAGTCTATAAAGTCTGACTAATTAAAGCATCTCTTTCAGATACCAGATTGGGGG